CGCTTGACTCGCAATCTGAGGGTCGAAAGTTCGAATCTCCGTCCCACCAAACATACTCGCCCTTTCAGCCGTGGGAGCGTTATAATGTGACGGTTAATCCCACTATTCGTTGGTAAAGAAGTAAAAGAATTGGCGGTGGGTGGTGATGACTAGCTGCCTTCCCTTTAGTCTTTCACTGCTAAATAAGGGATGGTTATGTGTAGCTTTGAGCGAAATTCAAAACAAACCACACCAGAAATTCAGAATGCCATAAGTTTCGGTAAACTCTTGTCATTGTTTATAAGCGATAAACTTCAGGGCTTTTAAAGCTAAAAATTGGAGTTCAATCCGTGCGATGTGTACAGCGCAGTTAGCCCTTTGTGCGGCTTTGCAGTGTCTAAAGATTTCGTATCTTGTGTTGTTTTTTTTATATTTTAAAAATAAGAACATTGTGGTTGGGTGTTTGTTATGTTTTGTATAACCTGAAGTTTTATAAAATAACTCCCTCATTATTACTTTCATTGTAACACTTAGAACTGTTTTACACTTAAAACTATCATACACCTACAGGCGGATCGAAACACTGTTTTCTTATGGTAGTCCTATACACAAAACAAACAAGAAAATATTCACTTTACCTGTAGGATATCTTAAACGAATTGAAACACTGGTCTTATAGTAGCTTGCACGACAAAACCACGTAAATACAATTATGCAATATTATGAAGCGAATTTAAACACTAGTCTTATAGAAGAATTTTATTCTCCAGAAAAACTTTTTTTTAACTCTAGAAGATCCTCAAGCTTTAACATTCAAATCCAAGATGTTTTACAAGACTTTAAACTGTCTTGTACAACCTTGGATGTTATACAATTTATCTTTACATACAAAAGGACTGACTCTTTTAAGCCTATTACGATCTATAGAATTTTAGTTGTTTTTGTTTCTGTTACAAATTGTTATGGGATTCTATAAAACTGACGGTCTTAAATCTATAGGATACAATACTTCCTTTACCTATCCTACAGAATCGTGTTCAGTCTTTTAAGGGGCATAACATTTCTTGTTTATTGTACAGTTATAGTAGAACTCTTAAAATGTGGGAACTGAGGTATGAGAATGACATTTGAGTCCACCCATTTACATTGCATGTTTAGCGTTTCTCGAGTTTTTTTTTAATCTCCTAAACATTCAGTAAACAGGTGTCTTGTCTACAATAAATATGGCACATTTCTTTTTTTGCTAATGATATGCTGATTCTATTTTCTTGATGTACTCGTGCCGTGAAGTGTTCCTCCAAGTTGGAACAGCTTGTCGTTTTGACTTATCGAGAATTAGTATTTTATTATGTATTTCGTTATAAGCTTGTGAGCTGAATGAGCCAGAGTGATTTGTTCAGTTTCTTTAGAACAACACATGTTCATTTTCGCAATTGTTCTTGAGCGAACACGGAAAAAGTAAAAATAACAAAACCACAATAAACACAGTAAAAAATAAACAAACGTATCCTTTTAACTCTTGTCTTCTTCTTTGAAAATGAGGATAAAGGTACAAAATGCACCAAAGATGGATGAATCTTTTTAACTCTTTAAATTTTTGTCCCTTTCTTCTTTGAAGATGAAGAAAATGAGTATAAAGGTACAAAATGCACCAAAGATGGATGAATCTTTTTAACTCTTTAAATTTTTGTCCCTTTCTTCTTTGAAAATGAAGAAAATGATGGATAAAGGTAAAAAAAAATGGAAATTTTTAACATTAATAGTTTAGTTTCCTTCCTTTGCAAAAATAACAGGAGAAAATCGAAAAGTTTGGTCAATCGCCTCCCTTTGGTTCAGAACTTTCGTGTTTAATATAGACACATGTTCAACGTGAAAAAAAGGACATTATCTATCCATGACACTCAAATTACGGGAAATGTCTTTTATTGCATTTCCAAACATCTTTGACTTTGAACTTTCCACGACCTTGATTATCCCGCCAGACCTTTATTGTGTTTCGTCGAACCCCTATTCTGTACGAAAACTATTGCCACTTAATAAAGCATCATGTAATTTTTAAGGAAGCGAAACCAGACTAACTGTACAGTAACAAAAAAACTCTTTGAACTTAGATGCTTATTGTTTTCATACTCATCGGTACACAGTACTTGTAATGTATAATGTGTGCTAAAATTATACTTGTAAAGCTAATAGTTAAAAAGTAAATTTTGTTAATTGCTATTAATTTTTTGTTTATAATGTTTCAATATGTCATGGTGAAAAAGAACATTTGTGAAAGAAACCGAAACCTTATTTTAGAGAAGTATATCTTAGAAAAGTATATTTGTTTCACCGTTTCGCGCAAAACCACACAAACAATTTCTGCAGATAGACATCCCTAATTGTGAATTGATAGTTTAGAGGAAATGACTTAGTTAACAGCACCCACCGTCACTGATCCAAAAGGGGATGTGATTATCACTCGTGTAACGCACCCACGGTTTCAAAGTACGGATTGAGTTTTATGGCAACGGGTTACGACCCCTGAACACTTGGTTTGTTTGTTTGTTTTGAATTTCGTGCAAAGCTACAATCTACGCTAGCTGTCCCTAATTTAACAGTGAAAAACTAGAGGGAAGGTAGCTCGTCATCATCACCCACCGCCAACTCTTGGGCTACTTCTTTATCAACGAATAGTGGGATTGACCATCACCTTATAACGCCCCCACGGCTGAAAGGATGAGCATGTTTGGTGGATTGAACTCTTGGATTGACAGTCAGGGCGCACTAAAAACCAGGTCATGCCTAGTCCGGCTCTAGAAGAACTACACTAGACGGAACATTTTTCTTGTCTATCGCACGTTAGCGCATGCTTGAATTTCAATATATATCGCACGTTAGCGCATGCTTGTATTTCAATATCTATCGCACGTTCGCGCATACTTGTATTTCAATATCTATTGCTCATTAGCGCATGCTTGTATTTCAATATTTTCTAAACTTATTAATTTTACATATGTATAATTTTATGCGAAGAAATACATACGTACTAAATACCAATAAAGATGTTACCAACAGATTCCGCCGCCTTCTTTTAGTCATCAATTAAAAACTGTTTATGTTAAAAAAAGTTTAAAACTATCGGAACCCTAACCAAGGTCTATATTGTAATATTTATTAAGGTAGGAAAGCGAGTGATTATTTAACATGGTCAAAATTAAACAGCGCCCAAATCATCTTGTTTTTCTTCTCATTGGCAGTTAAGTATAGTGCCTTTCTATCTCACAGAAAAATGCAGTTTTTATCAAGACTATACCTGGAGACGCAGATGAGAGAAGAAAATAAAGACAAGGACATATAGCTATGGCAAAGATTGCATTCATGAATACGAGACATCTACTTAACAATACGAAGGTAAGGATATTATGTTTGGTCAAGGTTGCTGTACACCCGTGAAACATGGACAATTAGCAAAGTGATTGAACCAAAGCTGGCTAATACAATAATGCGGTTCTAAAGAGAGTGCTAAAGATCATCTGGGTTGAGAGAATGGAAAATATTAAGTAATGTTGTTAACTTGTAAACGTTGAACCAAAGCTGGCTAATACAATAATTCGGTTCTAAAGAGAGTGCTAAAGATCATCTGGGTTGAGAGAATGGAAAATATTAAGTAATGTTGTTAACTTGTAAACGTTATAGCGATAAAGAAGACAAACTTATTGGGACATGTGATGAGACAAGAGAAGTTGACGAATTACGGACATTACGGGTAAGATTGAGGGTAAGAAGTGAAAATCTGGACCACATTTTGAGATGGTTTGGCTCATAAGGACAGAGGAAGTGCTGCATGTTACAAGAAACAAGGGAGTGGAAAAGATGGAGATCCAAGACTATCGACGCCCTGATCGTGGATGACGTAGATAATGATGGTGGTAACAGGGACTATGGCGTTTAGTCGCTTCCATTGGTTTGTGAGATTCCAGAAAGACACTAGCGTGTAAACGTATTAAACTGGGCGTATAGTTCTAGTTTTGCGAGGGGGTATTAAATAAGTTAACGTCACTGTATAAGGGAAGGAAAATTTGCTTATTCTAGTATGTTTGTATTTCAACTTTCATGCAGTAATTTATTTAGATATATTTTGAATTTTTCAAGAAAAAGTTAATGCAGTAAAGGTATTTTCAAATATCACTCGATGATTATGAATGGATTAGTACACAAAATAAGAGGGCGTAAG